CCCCAAAACCCCAAAACCCCAAAACCCCATATCAGCTTTTAATATTGAAACAGTTCGAAACCAGTTTAACTCATGGGAACCCAATCACTCAGGTTTTTAGGGCTGCTTGAAACATAATTACCTCATAGGCTTGGGTTCTTGCACAACAGGATCTACTGGAGTTTGCTCTCTGAAATTTCTGACTGATTAAGCTCTTTCTTCTCCCTCTCGTACCTCTCCTTATCCTTAGCAGCAAGGTCTTTGAAAGGGGCTTTGGCTTCAGGAGTCAGGGCTTTCCACTCTTGAGCTAGAAGCATATTCACATCTCTCATGCTCAAGCCAGGGTTCTGTTGCTTAAGTTGTTCCCTCCTGTTTTTGGAAAACTGGAAGAAAGGAGACATTGGCTTTTTAGGTCCAGGCTTAGACTTCATTTGGACTTCATCTTTGCCTTGGTTGAGACTAGTTTGTGCAGATGGGAGTTCGGATTGGTTCTCAGAGGTTTGAGCCTCCTCTATAGGTCTAGAATCAGTTTCTTTGTCTTCTTCCTCTATAGATTTATTTAGAGTTAATATCTAAATAGGAGAGTCTGGAAGATGCTAGCCGCTGAGGACACCTTTTAGGAGCCTTAATGATCTAAAATAGACTCCTAATGATCATAAACATTGTTTTTGGTCTCCTTATGATACCCAATCTGAGGGCATTTTAATGAAACCCAAAGTATTAGGTCCAGTTTGGGGTGAAATTAAGTTAAGACGCTCAAATATTGGTATTTAACCCATCGCTGTAATACCCACGGTTCAGCAAATTATTTTGTAAGAAGAAGACTTTATCTTCCTTTGGAAGTCTGACTAATTTTTATTCAGAAGCTAGTAGAGAGAACCCATATTATTTTCATATTCTGTGTCAATAATAAGACTTACTCTGGTCTTCAGCATCCTGAGGGCGTTCTACTCCTTGAGGCTGTATGGAAGATAGGATGATAAACGGTGTATTTCAGTAAGGAACATCAGCAACTTACTTGTGGTCAAGGCGGCAGTACTCCAGAAATACTTGCAAGCTTTGGATCGCCTTTGATATCGGTGGTAACCACATCTGGGTGTAGCGTTTCAGTTACTTCTAATAAGTCTGAAGTAGGCACTGCCATTACTTTGTCAATATCCTAGAAATTACGATTCGAATATATACCGTGACCTTGAAATTGTCTTCTTGTGGGAGATCCTTGTGAGGTATCTTCTCTTCTTCTTCAAACTGAGTCTTGTCTTTATGCTTTTCAGTGCTCTCTCCTATATAGAATTGTCTAACTGTGTATGTTTAGAGCTTGAGGATAGTTTCTTCCGCTTAAATTAAAATTTTGAAAGAAGTATTTATTAGTTAAAGTATTCTAGTAAAAACTAAACTTTAAATAATGGCTTCTTGAAGCAGACTAAAGTATATTCAATGGATATTTCATGTGAAAATAAACAAGGTAAAGGAGCAAACATCTCTTGAGATAAAAGCTTTCTCTTTTAGGTTTCTAAAAATAAACTCAGTCATAAAATGGCTTGTATGTGGGCTAATTTGGAATCTCTAGATTACCTGTGATATTCTCTGCTTCCTTCACTTCAAACCTCGTGTTTTGGGTCACCTCATTGTTCCTATATAGTTTTGAGTGAGATTCAGACTAGGATTAAAATGAGTAATGCAACCGAGCATTTTAGAGACTCCAAATATAGCCAAAGTAATCATTGCAATGCTATCCTTCAGTTTTTGATACTGGAAGACTCTTACTGGTTCATCAGGTCTGTGCTTTTATTTCATTTTTGATCTTTGTCATCCATTTGGAAATTATTATAAATCAGTCAACTCAATTTTTAACATACTCCACGGGGTTTTGGGGTTTTGGGGTTTTGGGGTTTTGGGGTTTTGGGGTTTTGGGGTTTTGGGG